CTTCCTAAACAACTGAAGGACTATGCTATCTGCTTTAATTCATTCAAATATGAATGAAGCCAAGATAAATAGAATAGTTATAAAATACTACAAAAATGAACCAAATACCCTTAAAATGTAAAATTAATCATTTCCTCTTTTATTCATAAACTTTTGTGATCTGCCTTGATTTGGATCTCTTTTCTGCTTACATTCAGAGTTTAAATACAAAGAATTTCAGTTGATTTGAGTGGCATAGCTTGCTTTACCAAAGATTCTCAGATGAAAAGATAAATAAACTCCCTAAGTTGCAGGATATGAATTCTAGGGAAATAGTTATCCTGCAAGAATAAGACTTACGGGTTCATTTAGAGAAAATTCTCAGCAAAATGTGCAAATATATTTTTAGCCTTACAGTTATTTGTTTCCAATTCAAATAATTAATTGTGTAAAAATTGCATGAGCACATTTATGAAAATCTTATGTAGTAATATTTGAACTTCCTCTTTCACTTTTTATTGTGATGGAGCACTTCCATTGAAAGCCCAGATGTAGGCACACTTGAATAGAGAAGATTCTTGGCAAAATCACTCCTGAACACATTTCTCAGACACTTCACCAGGGCTTATTCCTTACATATCTCCTAAATATGATGTGAAACAATAATTTTTAAAATCAGTTTTAAAATATCAATCCCCTGGTTCCATCTTGGTCCTAATAAATTTGAATGTTTGCTCTTTGAGTTTGTATCTGTATCCAACAAATTCCTCCTCCCTCCAATGAATCTGTCGTATTCACACTGTAACCAAATCAGCACTAGCTAGGTCCTGCCCCAAATGTGAATTCTCCTTTCATAAAAATTTTCTGTGTATACTTCATTATCATTAGTATTATTTTGCAATCATAAAGACTTTATGTCTGATATATATGCCATGGGGGATCACTTCTGGATACAATTTGAATGTTAAGATGGAGAAATTTATAAAATATAAAAGGAAAGTACAGTACCCAGTAAAACAAAAAGTAGAAGGTCTGTGGTAGAGAATTGGAGGAGACGAGGAAACCCATTATTCATTCAGAGAACAGGTCTGTGGAACTAGGGTAAGTACTTTAAAGTCACTAGGAAGTGAGGATGATTTTCCTTATACTTCTCTTTCTTCATGTGTTGTATTGTTGTCGACCCACAGATGGCCTTCTGATTCTCTCTGCACATGACCATTATCCAGCCTCTAAGATTATATCACCTCAATCTGAGAAAGTACACATGTGTGCATCACCTCTTTCACTCTCTCTCTCTCTACATGGAAGTTCTGGGAATATTAACAGAATTTCAGGGAGACAGAGCTGATGAGCCAAGTTCTGGTCAGCTCTACAATTGATCTCAAGCCCTGGCTTGGCGACATCAGGTCACATGCCACCAATGGCATTGCCTAAGCTATTTCTCCAGCTGAGAAGGGGGGAAAAACAATGTTGTGATTTTTTTTCGCTAGGGAAAAAAACAATGCTATGATTGGATATACCCAAGAATGTCTCCCTTCCTGATTAATGTGACAAATCTGTTCAAGAATTTTTCTTCTGGTCTCAGACCATGGAAATCAGAAGGTTGTGTTCAAAACCAAACTCTAAAACCAAAAATTAGAATTCATAGATATTTTGCTGGGAAAAAAAAACACACTTAATATGATATAAGACCCGACCTATTATTAGGTATTTTATATTTGTCATAAGACTCATTGACATGATTCTGGATCTGGATCCCAGATGTAGCAGGGGAATGGATCACATCATCCTTTTTCTCAACTATTTTCAGGTTTAGGTAGCTGAGAGTACATCTTTGCCATCATGACATAAAGTATGGGTGCTGCCTATATATTTGGATAAGTTCCCATTCTCCACAAAACCTGTTGACATCCATCAATCTTAGGGGTTGCAAGGCTCTTAACTTGGTGGTAAAGAAAATAGGAAGAATTAGATTCTTCTTCTTCTTGCCCTTCTTCCCTCCCCCAAATGAAACTTAAAAAGCTATTAGATAAAGTGGAGAGCCATGACTGAGACCAGATTATAGAAAGATGATCAGAACCCTTGAAAGGGAACAGGAAGAACTACACATGTAATTTGGCACTGTGCCTAGAGCCTGGGTGAAATACAAGTGTTTTCTGGAGCTCACTCCAGCTCTGTGGTCTAGCTTTTGTGAGTGAACTTTCTTAAACTTCAGGGTTGAAATTGAGATTCTGGCTTAGACCATCTGAACTAGGCCCATAAATTGTACTTCCAACAAATTTCCAGGTGATACTGACATGAATGATCCATGAATCATGCTTGGAAGCATAAAGACTTTTAGAAAGCATAAATTATGTAATCTGAAAGAGTAGGAAGAATGATATTTGAAACCCTTTCTTCTTTGTGGAAATAGTTCATAGAAAGGATATACTCCTGTCCCCAGGGATTGCCCTACCTCATTTCACACACCACAGGCCTTCATCACAATTGGCTTTGGCTCTACTAAGGATGGTGAAGTTGGCAGATCTCCCATTTGATTAGTAGCTCTGCAGAAGAATGTGAGGAAGGCTCAGAGAGAGAAAGGAGAAGCAAGAGCCAAGAAAGTAAGTAGCAGGCAACAAGTTGAGCCACAAAAAGAGGAATTAACAATACCTAGGGACCATAGGTAAAAATCTGGGGAGGGAAATTATTAAAAATCACTAAAAAATTGGATAAAAGTGGATGGGGCTTGAGGCAATTACAATTTGAAGATATTATTATGCAGAGGTTGATAAATACTAGACATAATACTAGATATACAATTACATCTATAGCAAGGTATCTAATTTAAATGTAAACCAAAAGCTCAGCTACTAGGGAAGCTGAGGCAAGAGGATCAAATTCAAGGCCAGGCTGGGCACTTTAGTGAGACCTATTCTCCAAACCAAACCTAGCAGGCACAAGGCCCTAGGTCCAGTACTATATAGACATGCAAAAATATTCTAGGAAATGGAATAAGAATTTAATTTGATAATAAGTTGAACATATTAATATTAATACAAAAGTCATTGACACCATCTTTATGCAAGAGCAGTCACTATTGTTTTAAATCAATTAATATTAAAACAATTAAAAGGTATTTTCAGGTTTATTCTCAATCTTTATGACCACTCTTATTTTTTAGTTAAGATCTTAATGTTGTCAATAAAGAATTCTCCAGGTTTTTAAGATATTGTTATCCAAAGAACTCAATCAAAAACTTTAAACTCAAATAGAATTTATAACTCAAGCATGAATCCAAGCTTACTTAATATGATGAACAAACTTTTTTCATTGTTGATTCACCTGTACACTGTCATAAAAATTCCTGAATTGGAATGTCTTTTGATAGGTCATGAATTGGTAAATTGACCATGGTTCTCAGCTCAGGTAAGCAATGTAATGCATTATCTACCCACTTCTGAAGAAGATAAGCTCATTCCTTTTATTGGCTCAATAAAGTGTGAGCAAATATTTTCATATTGTGTTTAGATATAAACTTTATTCTCTCTACCACAGGTAGTTTAAGCTTTACCTGAGACATAAGACACATACAAAATAACTTTAAAGCAAAACAGAAAATAATAATTGCCATAATAAAGGGAAAAAAAGTTTTTGAAGGTACAAAGAAAACAAAAAAACTTAAGGTTGTTTTCATCAAAGAGTTCTCAGAACTAAGTATTCAAGTTAAAAATAAATTTAAGTCAGAATGGCCTGGAAGTAGGATGGTGAGGAAAGCAGATTTGGAATAAATCCACAGATATAGAAAATACAGGGTGTTGGAACAAGGTGAGCACAAGAGGGAACAAGAGGGGAAAATGAGGACATGTTGTATTAAAGCAAAATGTCATTCTGTTTTGGGTCCCCAACTCCACCTCCTTTCTTTCAGATCAACAACACCTTCAAATTCCAACACTCTAGTTCTGATTTTTAGTCTCTTCTCAAGGCTGAAGCATACTGATCATGGTCCTCCCTTGACCTTGGTTCATGGGGAAGCATCCCACAACCTTTACACTGACATCTCCTCAAGCACCTTCCTGACTCACACTCAGTATCTGCAGTCCTTCTTGGCACTTATCATCAAGGGTTTGTCAATTTGACCTCACCTTATCCCTAAACTGTGCTGGGCCATGCTTCTGTTGGCCTCTGTATCCCATTTTTTTCTCTAGCTTCTTCCAATCATACCTATAGTTTCCCTATTTCCTATAATGATTCCTTTATCTCTCAGATATCCAATTAGAAGCAAAAATGTTAGGCCATGTTCTCCTTTTATTCTGAGTGCCAAGTCATTCATCAAATTCTCATGCTTTTGTCTTTTTAGTCCTTCAATCTCTGCATATCAGAACCTTGGTGTCCAAACTATTCCTGCAAGAGGCTTACCATAATGACTCTAGTGCTTATTGAATGCCAATTAGTGCTAAGCATGCTCATCATAAGTTTCAGTGCAAAAGTTTTAAATGTCTCCATAGTTCCTCAGATAGCTGAATTAAATTATTTTGATTGACTTTCAGAGTTCCTCACAATTTGATTCAACTCCACTTTTCCCTGTCTTGCCTCCCTGCTCTGTGTCATTTAGTCACTGCCAGTGCAAGCAGAGCTGGTGGTGACCATTCCATAGTGATGATTCCCCCTTACCTGTCAAATTCAGGGCACCACTGTGCTTCAGGAACTCTTTCCTGACTTGTTGATTTTTTTTCTTTTTTACCTTCCACACATAATCTATGTGACATCATTTTATACACCAATTTTAAAATTGTTCTTTTCCCCTCTGTTATTTCACGTTCACTCTGTCTTTACAAACTAACAAAGTAAGGTCATGTTTATTGGCTTCATATTTCTGATTTTAGATGTCTAACATGATGATGAACATGCTACGGGTAATTTATAAGTAGTTATTGAATAATGAGCTACAGAGAAAAAGATGAATGGTTTGGAACAGCATTTATAGAACAATTATATAAAAGGTGCTGTGTAAGATAGAGCTATGCTGAATGCAAACTTACCAGAGAAGACACTCGGTATCTTGGAAAGAAAGCTTTTGACAGTACGGATAGGAATTCCATTTTTTTCATCTTGCATGCGTGCTATGACGTCTTCCATCTAAACAACAACAATAAAATAATGAAAACCTTCAGAAAGTTGAACTTTTTGAGAAAAATCCATTCTCACATCAATTTCGTACACCAGTTTTGCCCAACTAAGAATACTGCCATTTTCTCACCTTTCTTGATTTTTGTCTCATTAATATTTTAAGTTTGGTTAATAAGAGATAGAGAAAATAACAAGGAAAATGGGCCATTTGGGGGTCCATTAAACTTCTAAAAAGAATGTTATGCTTTGAATATTGCCTTTCTTCTGGCTTCACATTCTTTGGTTATAAAAGCTGAAAGAAAACAGTATTTCATTTTTAAGTCAGAAACCACTGTCACAGCCAATTCACACTTTATTAATGTTATCTCTACTGAAATAAAAGAAAATAGAAGCCTCACAAGTATCTGCTTGGATTCCTCTTCGAGCAAGTGTTTCCATGATTTAGTTTAACACTAAAGTTCAGCAACCTGCCTGGAAATCTAGGACAGATTACCAGTAACTGCTGTTTCTCTTGCCTAGGCAATAATTGGTACGAGATGAATCATGCACATATATACCATACATGAGCACACACACACACATCCACACAAAATAAAATGAAAGCCATAGTGTAGCCTCCTACCCAGTTAGTGGATTCTACTGCATCTTTCTTTCAAACTTGTTAGTATATGTGCTTTTGCTTTGAAATTTTTTCACAGTTCTAAAAGGGTGTACTTTACAGTCTATTGCAGAATTTAGTTCTAAATAAGATTCATTCAGATCAAAGTCTCACACTTTTCTCATGTGTTTCTGTACCTGTGAGACATAATACACACAAAAATATCCATGTTGGAGTATAGCACTTAAATTTATTTATCCACTCATTCCACAATTAGTAGTGAGCACTTACTCTAGGTCAGATTTACTGATGGTTTCTCAGGACATCAAAATGAATATAATTCATTCCTGTCCTTAAAAGAAACCCATAATCCATAACAAAAATCAAGGTGAAATTTGAGTAAAGTTTGGTGTTTAGTTAGTAGCGTTGTATTAGTGTCAATTTCCTATTTTGATAATTATGTCCTGGTTATATAAGACACTAACATTAGGGAAGTTGAATAAAGGACCTGTGGGAAATCTCTGTGTGGTTTTTGTTTCCTTTATGTAAGTATAAAATTTCAAAGTAAAAAGGTTAAAAATTCAAAGTCTAAATTTCACAACAATGAATTATCAAATTCCCATCAACACAGCTTCAGAATGATTTTCAACTCAGAAATCTAATTTGCTTGGAAAAGGATCATTAGATTTATTACTAAGAGAACAATTGAAGATGCAGTTTTTTAAATTAATTAATTTATTTTACTTAGGTGTATATGACAGCAGAATGCATTTTTATTCATTGTACACAATTGCAGCACAACTTTTCATTTCTCTGATTGTACATGATGTAGCATCACACCAAATGTGCAGTCATAAATGTACCTAGAGTAATAATGTTCCTCATATTCCACCATCTTTCCTTCCCTCATACACCCTTCCCTTTCTCCCTCCCCTTTGCTCAATCAAAGTTCCTCCATTTTTCCCATGCTCTCCTCCATTATGGATCAGCATCCACTTATCAGAGAGAACATTTAGCCTTTGGTTTTTTTGGATTAGCTTACTTTACTTAGCATGATATTCTCCAACTCCATCTGTTTACCTTAAAATGCCATAATTTTGTTCTCTTTTAATGCTGAGTAATAGTCCATCATGTATATATATACCACGGTTTCTTTATCCATTCATCTATTGAAGGGCATCGAGGTTTGTTTCACAGATTAGCTATTGAGAATTGAGCTGCTATAAACACTGATGTGGCTAGATCGCTGTAATATGCTGATTTTAAGTCCTTTGTGTATAGGTCTAGGAGTAACTGGGATAACTGGGTCAAATGGTGGTTCCATTCCAAGTTTTCTAAGGACTCTCTATACTGCTTTCCAGAGTGGTTGCATCAATTTGTAGTCTCACCAGCAATGTATGAGTGTGCCTTTCCCCCCACATTTTCGCCAACATTTATTGTTGTCTGGATTCTTGATAACTGCCTTTGTGACTGGCGTGAGATGAAATCTTAGAGTAGATTTGATTTGCATTTCTTTAATTACTAGAGATGTTGAACATTTTTTCATATGGGTTGCAGTTTTAACATAAAATGAGTCTGTATTTGACTCCAAACTCTTCTAATTATTATCCATGTAACTTTGAGCAAAACTTCTTCTAACTTCTCAAGATTCAGTTTCCTCATCTATATAATGGTGATACTACTACTTTAAAATAACTCCTTCACAATGTTCTTTGTGGATCTGGGTTGGAGTTATAGTGGGGTAAACTATTTTATGGTTAAATGATATAATATATATAAAGCCTAGTACATAGTTATGATAATAGATATTGGACTTAGAACGTCTGCATATACCCTGACATGTGGGAATGTGCATTCTCCATTTCCATGTTTCTTTGCATGTGGAGGGAACATCATTAGCATGAAGCTTCATTTTCCTTCTGCCTCCTAACTTATTCCAGAGGTGCCGGGTGACTTATCAGATGGTCAAGAATGAGCAAGGAAGGAGAGATCAGCAAGTGGTCAGGCCCACTCCTTTTCTCTTGGCTGGAAGTCCACATCCAACTCTGCTTATAGACAGCTGCCGGCTCTGGGGCACCAGCAATTGTATTCAGGTTTCAAAATTAAAGGTTATTTGTGCACTTTAACAAAAGCTTTTTCAGTAATCAAGGTGATTTGGTGACACTTATATGTGCCTTTCTCTTTGGTTGTGGTTCTCTGTTCAGAATTCAAGAAGGAAAAGAAGGTGTTTCTTATCAGGCTTCTCAAAGCCCCAATGAAGATCAAATGACCCACTTCTTGTGTAATAAAGATATTTATGTATAGAAATATGGAAATAGATATTCTATCATGACTCTTTGTGCTATTACTATTTGCCCTTGATTCACCTGACACAATATTCTAAAATAAAGAATAAGCTGCTTTGCCTTGCTTGGTATCAGGCCCTAAGCCCTGTATTATCTGCTTAATGGTTTAAACCAGGCCGGATTAGACAGATATGGAGACCTTGCTGGCTCCCACTTTAATCACCTCAGCGCCCAGGGCTGTGGCAACAATCACCTCTGCTTAGGGGTTGAATTAAAGAGCACAGCAATGGGTAGAGGTGCTTTCTCTCTAAAGTCATATCACCTCTCAGTTCACTGGATCCCAATGAATCAAAACCAGGAGGCAGGGAACAGAAAGTGACTTCTGTGGTTGTATTTCAAAACCTACCTTTTTTTTTTCTGAGTCAAAATATCTACAGTAGGAAAAAAAAAATCTCTAATGTAAAAATAGAATTTGTGTTCTCAACTGAAAATGTGATCATGGAAATGGATTCAACTGCTTCTATATTTGTTCAGATGTGATTTATCCATGAAACTTGCCATGACCTAAAATAAGCAAAAACAAACAAACAAAACAACAGCAACAAAAACCAAAAGCAAAGACAAATACAAAAATAATATATACTTTCTAAAAACAAAAATCAGTCACAAAGTCCATGTATAAAAAATAAATCCATCCTATCCACTAAAAGTGCATCACACATTCACTCAGGGTCTATTAATTTTTATACTACTCATGGCCTTAACATGTTTGATTATCTGCTTTCTCACCATTAGCAATTGTGTGAGAGAGAATGCCGAAAGCAGTCAAACTTATAGAGCAGACAGACAGCAAGAGGAATGTGAAACTGTAAAAAACAAATCCAATAAGTATCAAATCCTGGAAATTTTCAGTTACAGCCAAAAAACTCAGATATTTCAAGCATCCCAAGAGAAGATATATATACGTAATGTGTGTACACACACAGATATATACCACACACACACACATTATACACACACACACAATTGTTCCTTGGTGTCTCTGGGGGCTTGGTTGCAGATCTTGCTGAAGACATAAAGATCCACAGATGGTGAAGTCCCTTATATAAAATGAGCCAATATTCACATACAACTTATAAACACAGTCCTGTACACTTTAAGTCATCTCTAGGTTACTTATAATACCTAATAACCCAATAAAATGTAAATATTATGTATATAGTTGATCCACAGTGTTTGTTTAGGGAATAATGGCAAGGAATGGTCTGTACATACTCAATTAAGTTGGATTTTATTAGAATATTCTTGATCAACAGTTGGTTGAACCCATGGATATAGAACCCACAGTTATGGAAGACAGACTGCATAGATATGTATTCATAAGATACCCCTGTGTGGTAACGAGGTATTTTGCATTTTCATTCTCATAAGCTGGTTTCTCAGGCCATGAACATGAGATAACACACCACTGGGCTGTGGAGAGGACGACTGCCAATGAGCCTTGGCTCACTGAGGCTTGGTCAGAATCTGATCTTTAAAGAAAAAGCTAGAAACAGGTAATCTAAAAGATTTCTTCTAGCTACAAAACTATTGACATCTAGAAATAATCATTAGTGTGTAAAAGTGGGTAAGTTTCCTCACCAAGTTTGAGTCAACCCTCTGTCAGAGACAGAGGAAATTAAATAGGACCTTCTACAAATTAATTTGCAGTCCAATGTCAGCATATTTTAATTACAAAGAAAATGAGAGAATGATAAAGAGCATGCACTAAGCCAATGAGACCTTAGAACTGACCTGAGTTTAATCTTGGCTGGGATACTTACAAGCTAAGTAAGTTAATCACTCTGAGACTCATTTTTCCCATCCGTAAAATAGAGATAATCATAACAGCATACATCTTATAAGGGGTGGGGATTAATGAAACAGTGTTAATTAAATGCTTACCAAAATGCATCCTCATCTTATCCTCATAATAATCTTCCCTTTATTGTATTAGGAAGCCACAGGCCCTTTTATAATCCAGATGCCAAAAAAAGCTATAGTTAAGTGCCAAATTCTTATTAGAATTTGTCAAGTACTGAGTAGACAGAGATGCCTATGAGTTCTACCTTAGATTTCTTGTAGAA